CGCACGCATCTTTATCGCAAGCTCAAACAACTGGGCGTAGATCTGTCGCGCGGCAAGCGCAGCACCTGAAATTCCTCCTGGGCATGGGCCTGCGCAGCTGAACGCTGTTCGGCCTGGTATATAATCATGGGCTTGGCCCGGTAGCTCAGTCGGTAGAGCAGAGGATTGAAAATCCTTGTGTCGGTGGTTCGATTCCGCCCCAGGCCACCATTCTTTTAGCGCCCCAGCGCCCTTTCGGGTTCTGGGGCGTTTTGCATTGCCGATCACATTTCGTGGGTTGGCATGATGCACATCCCGCCTTTTGCACCAAGCGTGCATCTCCATCCTGAATCCGTGCCCAAGGTTCCCCACGTATTTGTCTGGTAACAAGGCGTGCGTTTGGACGAGCCATTCGTTACACATGTAGTAAAAAAGATAAAGCTGCGGCGATTAGTGCCGTTTGCGCAAATGATTACATATGTGTAACAGGCAGAGCACTTAAAATAATCTTGCGACAGGCCTTTTATTAGTGCTTAAGTTGTATAAGAAGATCTAGGTCGGCGCTGTTTTTGCTAAGATTGGATACATCTGTACACCGTTAAAAGTTGTTTCAAATCATATTCTTGCGAAGATTTTTTGCTAAAGGTCTTCAGCAGTTAATCGGGATGTGATTTTTTGCGCGCTATGGTGCGGTTTATTCCAAAGACTGGAAATGAATTGTTACATCCTTGGAGGGTCCCGGTAAACTTTCAATAAGTCCGCCATTTGGTGGGGACTCCTTGTTGACTATCCCGGTTTTTAGGGCAATTTTTTGGATTTTTTGAAGGCTTTAGGCCTTTCAACACTACGGCTGCGAAATTTGCTTCAGGTTCGGCATTTGGTCGGGCTTGTTGCTTTGCCGTTTTTGTTCTTTTTTTACAGCTCTGTTGCGCAAGCCCAGACCCAGGTTAACAACGTTGTGTCCATCACTCCCCCAGCGAGTGTGACCAACACGAATCCCTCCGCCTCCTGTACCGTGGCCGGGGTTTGTTCTGCCCAGGATCTGGATCTTGTTTCCCCGTCCGGCCCCGCCATATCCAAGAGCTTTTCACTTGCGACCATTAATGCTGGTGGTACCGCGCTGTTGACGATCACGATCACGAACACCCACGCGCTTGTATCGGCAACGCTGTCGGCGCTGTTTACCGACCTTTACCCCACCGGGCTTGTCAATGCGACAGCCTCTGCGGCCCAGACCAGTTGTGTGGGCGCGGCCAGCTCAACTCCCGGTCTGGCAACTCTGACTCTGGCAGCGGGAACCCTGATTCCCCAGGGTGGCAGCTGTTTTGTGTCAGTGGTGGTGACAAGTTCGGTGTCTGGAACATTGACCAACACCATTGCGGCAGGTTCGCTTACTACCTCAGTGGGTACAAACACGGCGACAGTCAGTGCGGTGTTGGTTGTTCTGGCCAATGCAGACCTGCAAATCACCAAAACGCCCAGCAGCAACTCTGTAACTGCGGGTGGCACGGTCAGCTATACAGTCACCATGGTCAATGTGGGCCCAAGTGTGGCGGCCAATGTGACGGTCACTGACGTGGCTTTGGCGGGTCTGACCTTTTACGGCACTCCGGTGGTTACGGGTGGCTCGCTGGCCAGCAATAACGCGAGTGGACTGACGGTGACGCAGGCCAGCCTGGCCGTAGGAAGCACGATCACCATCGTGGTCAGCGCCACGGTGACGGCAGCTACTGGCAGCGTGACCAACACCGTGGCCGGTACGTCTACAACCCCCGACCTGACCACGGGTAATAACACGGCGACTGCAGTGACTCCGGTGGCCAGTCAGGCCGACCTGACGCTGACCAAGGTGGCATCGAGCAACAGTGTGACGGCAGGCGGCACGGTCAGCTACACGGTGACGCTGGTCAACCTGGGCCCGAGCACGGCACAGAACGTGACCATCACCGACATATTGAGTGCCGGCTTGACCTTGGTGAGCTCAAGCGGAAACAACGGCACGGTGACAGGCGCGGCAGTAGGCGGCACAGTCGGCGCGACCACGACCAGCCTGGCGCTGGGCCAGACCTTGACCCTGATCGTCAACGCCACGGTGAGCAACTCCGCCAGCGGCAGCGTGACCAACACGGCAGTGGGCACCAGCACCACGCCAGACCCAAGCCCGACCAACACGGTGACCGTGGTGGTGCCGGTGGCCAGCGTGGCCGACCTGACGCTGACCAAGGTGGCATCGAGCAACAGTGTGACGGCAGGCGGCACGGTCAGCTACACGGTGACGCTGGTCAACCTGGGCCCGAGCACGGCACAGAACGTGACCATCACCGACATATTGAGTGCCGGGTTGACCTTGGTGAGCTCAAGCGGAAACAACGGCACGGTGACAGGCGCGGCAGGGGCCACAGTCGGCGCGACCACGACCAGCCTGGCGCTGGGCCAGACCTTGACCCTGATCGTCAACGCCACGGTGAGCAACTCCGCCAGCGGCAGCGTGACCAACACGGCAGTGGGCACCAGCACCACGCCAGACCCAAGCCCGACCAACACGGTGACCGTGGTGGTGCCGGTGGCCAGCGTGGCCGACCTGACGCTGACCAAGGTCGCCAGCGTCGGCAGCGGCTCGGCGACCGCTGGGTCGACCATCAGCTACACGGTGACGCTGGTCAACCTGGGCCCGAGCACGGCACAGAACGTGACCATCACCGACATATTGAGTGCCGGCTTGACCTTGGTGAGCTCAAGCGGAAACAACGGCACGGTGACAGGCGCGGCAGTAGGCGGCACAGTCGGCGCGACCACGACCAGCCTGGCGCTGGGCCAGACCTTGACCCTGATCGTCAACGCCACGGTGAGCAACTCCGCCAGCGGCAGCGTGAC